TTTTTTGAGACAGGGTCTTACTCAGGCTGGAGTGCAGTGGCATGATCACAGCTCGCTGCAGCCTTGACCACCTAGGCTGAAGCAATCCTCTCATCTGCTCAAGCAATTCTGCCTCATTGTCCTGAGTAGCTTAGACTACAGGTGCATGTCACCACATCCAGCTAATTTTTTTTTTTTTGGTAGAGATGGGGCCTCACTATGTTGCCTAGGCTTGGTCTTGACTCCTGGGCTCAAGTAATCCTCCCACCTCAGCCTCCCAAAGTGTTGGGATTACAGGTGTGAGCCACCACACTCATCCATGTATCCTACTTTTTAAGTGCCCATAAGTCATTTTGAATGTGTATGTTCTATAATCTCAACTTGAGACCAAGTTCCTCTGAAACTAGAAATTTATTTTGTCATTTTTACTTTGTCCATAGATTCTAGAGCTATAAACCTCCTTGGATGTGGCTACTGCCTGAAAGAGCAAACAACATACCCTTTTCCATGTCTCATTCATTGCTGTGTGACACTCCCTTAATATACACAAGATACTCCAGATATTTTTCTCCATACTACTCATAAAACCCATGGCTCTGTCTGTTGCTTAAAAAAATAAAAGTAGGGGAAAGTTCACCACAGCAAACGGTATGACTCTTGACCATCCATGACGTAACTGAAATGAGCACCAAAGCAGCTATTACTATTCCTGAGGGGGCTATGTTCATAGCTACCGGTACTGAAATAATGCCTACAGTCAAAAACAGCTACTTCGGTGGGGCAGTAGCATATTATTTTGTAATAAGCTGTCACAAAAGTGTTAAGCAGCCATCACTGCCCTGAGTCAGCACATCTCCAAACTCAGGCATGCTCACTCCTGATCCAAGCCAGACAGTAGAAGGCAGTACCGTACATATACATACATTCCCTTCTTAGCTCCTTCCTTTCCTAGATTTTTCTACAACTGTGTAGTCATAAAGTCTACTCCTTTATTCCTCCTCTGTTAATGAGTATGAAAATCTGCATTCTCAAGAGGCAAATTCTAGAATGATTCCAGGAAGGTAACTACATAAATGAAGGGGGAGAAGAAGCAGACCATAGAACCTCTCTTTCACTAACGTCTATGTGCTAGAACATTCCATTTCCTACCTGATTTCATAAAACACATTTCCTCTTATGAGTGCTCTATAACATACTTTTTTTTTTTTTTTTCTGAGACGTCGTCATGCTCTGTCACCAAGCTGGAGTGCAGTGGCGCTCACTGCAACCTCCGTGTCCCAGGTTCACACTTTTCTTCTGCCTCAGCCTTCTGAGAGGCTGGGACTATGGGTGTGCACCACCACGCCCAGCTAATTTTTGTATTTTTAGTAGAAATGGAGTTTTACCATGTTGGCCAGGCTGGTCTCAAACTCCTGACCTCATGATCTGCCTACTCAGCCTCCTGTGCCCAGCCAACATTAACTACATTTATGCGATCTTTTCTGGACTTCTAAGATTTAAAACAAAACAAAACAGAAGCCTTTGAAATCATTTCTTGTGATGATAAAGCCAGGGAGGCAGATAATTCAAGAGGCTGATCTCTACCCAACTGAGAGGGATCAATAACTGCTTTAAAAAAATTCTGTAGTCTCAGAATTGTGAAGCCAATGAATGCTAAAGCTAGGATGTACCTGAGCGATCATCTAGTCTAACTTCCTTCTTCTACCGCTAAGGACATTAGACCCTGGAGAAACTGAGTGCCTTCCCCACAGTCATTGGAAGAGTAAATGTACGGCAGCACTAGTTGTGGAGTGCAAGCCTGCTGACTCCAAGTCCAGGGCTTCTGTACATTACAGTAAACAACTGCACTGTATACAACTGAGGGGCATTTTTGTGCTCCCACGCTATAGGCTTTAATAACTGGTAAAATCTGTTTAAAAACCAAAAAACCTCTTCCTCTTTTTAGGGAGTTAGAATTGATGCTA